AGGGAGGGAGGGAGGAAGGAAGGAAGGAAGGAAGGAAGGAAGGAAGGAAGGAAGGAAGGAAGGAAGGAAGGAAGGAAGGAAGGAAGGAAGGAGAGAGAAAGATGTTAGGGAAAGAGGCTGACAGGGTTTGGTTGTTCAGACAGGACCGTGATATTTTAAGGCTGTAATGTCCAAGGTTCTCAGCTTTGAAGATCCCCAAGATCCCCATTTTGGGGGTGATCACTCAGGCTCACAGTGGGAGCTACTAGTAACCAAACTCCTAAAAGACTAATGTGCCAGCCAGCCGCCAATTTGTAGTTTTTCAGTAAGAAATATAATGCCAAGCCCAGGTGGTCAGTAGAGTCTCCCTTAGGGGAATAGCTGTGAGGTGGTAGGAAGCACCAGCTAAACTAAGAGAATAGCAGACAGAGACCACAAGTTCTGAGGCCAGAATCTTAAAGACTGAGAAGCCCTTCATTACTGTGATAAAGTGAAAATTCAGGTTACAAAACAGTATGTACACTATAACCCCAGCTGGGTTTAAGGATAAAATTAAACCTGGAAAAACATGTATCATAATGAGGCCAGCAGTTATCATCTCTGGGTAATGGTATTATGAGCGATTTTTATTTCCATTTTAAAATTTTCCACAAAATAATTAAGAGTTCCTTTTGAGGAAAGAAAATAAAGGATAAATTAAATATCCACCCTTAGAGATTTTGTTAAATAAATCATGATAATCCATATGGAATGGTATGCACTCATTAAAACCACGTTATAGAAATGTTTTCAGTGCTTGGGGAAGGAATAGTTAATACTTATGAGGTGCCTACTGCGTGTGAGGCACCATTCTAAGTGTTTTCTGTGTCTGAAATAATTTAATCTTGCACCAAGCCTGCAAGGCAGATGAGAAACCTGAGGTGGAAAGACGTTAAGAAATTTGCCCAAGGTCAGTTTCATTTTCTGTAAAATGAGTTCCCTTCCTGACATTATCTCATCAGGTTAATATGTGAATTAAAGGAGATGAATATAGAGAAAATAATCTGGTATCCAGAACAGGGGTCAGCAAACTTCATTTGGCCCCAGGCCAAATCCAGCCCTGCCACCTGTTTTTTGTTTTTTTAATTATTTTTCAATTGAAGTATAATTAACATACGGTGTTATATTAGTTTCAGGTGTACAATGTAACGATTCAGTACTTCTATACATCACTCAGTGCTCATCACTCAGTGCTCACCACAGTACCTGTACTCTTAATCCTCTGTATTTCACCCCTGCCCCTACTGGCCTCCCCCTGCCACCCATTTTTGTGTGATCCATCAGCTAAGAA